TTGAGGATTTGATTTGTCACTGGTCAAGAATCAGTGTCTTTTCCCAATTATAAAACAATGATGTCTTTATTTTTAAAGCAATACTTACTACCACGAATAACACCAATATATCACCACTACGCAAATCTTCTTCGTGAGAGTCCTAAAGCATTGGATATGAAGCCATTCATCAAGTAAGTCTTAAATATGATTAAAATATCGAAGAAATTGTTGTTAAATACAAAGTAATAATGAGTTTCACTGGTATTGGAGAAATTCCTTTCCAATTAATATGTTCAAATAAATATAATTTATATACTTCATACTAAATATTTCCTGTATAATACCTTACACACCGCTCTCTTATTTTTTAGAAAATAGCCACATAGTGTTGTCATCAAATTGTCTTCAAACATGTTTTTAGTTCATGCTTAAATCAGGGATTAACATTTCTTTTATTTTAGTGCTTTTAAAATAATAACAGAAAAAGAAAAGGAATAAAACATAAAAATAATGCAGAATAATATATTCTCAAAAAAAAACAGTGCATAAAAAGCTCCTTTAAAATAAATGAAAGAAACCTCCCCCCCCGAAGTATAATACGAGGGCAATTTGGAAATAAACCTCCATTTGGTTATCAATGACAGACACTCGTAGATACAGAACTTTTATTATACACATTAGAAAACTACAACATTACATTGTTGTAGTGGTGTTGGTTCACAGTAATGCTTGCCCACACACCACTAAACGCACCCAAGAACTTTTGAAGCAGTTCCGTTGGGGTGTTTTTGATCACCACCCCCCAATAGCCCTGATTTGGTGTCGAGCAACTACTACTAAGGAATTTCAAACATTGTAAGATGTTATGACAAGTGCCTCAATTTGAATGGCGATTATGTCGAAAAGCAATGTAATGTTGTAATTTTCTTATGTGTATAATAAAAGTTCTGTATCTGCGAGTGCCTGTCATTGATAAGCAAAGGGAGGTTTATTTCTGAATTGCCCTCATATATCATTATAACAGTTACAATTCTATATATTCTTATTTAATGTAGGCATTATTGAAGTACATGTATATTTATTTCTAATACATTAGTATAAACTATCTTTTGTGTTTAAACTATTGTGTTTGTATAAATGAGTTCCAGATTTCATTATACAAATAAAGTTCTCCATACAAGGTATACATCTATGGGCAATCCACTCAGAGATGACAAGTGTAATCAGGTCTTCAACCCACTGAATAAATGGGGCCATAGATTTATCATTCCAATGCTGCAATATCAGTCTTTTGGCCATAGTAAGGCATAAAGAATCCACTTACATTGTCCAGTTGTCGAATTCCACATAATATGTATGAAAGTCAAGAAAATATTGTCTTCTGCAAATTTTAACTTTTGTCACAGTCATATTTATATAATCCACTACTTTCTTCTCAAATTTAGTAAGTGTAGAACATTGTAAAAACATGCATTTTAAAGAAGCATTGTCCATATAACATTTTCAACAAAAGCTGTCTATCCAAGTGTAATGGGGTTAATAGATTTTTTGATGGGCAGAGGCTGACACTTTTTTAAAAAAAAATCAGAATTGTACACATAGGCGGAATCAGTAATTTATAGATCCCCCTTCCAGATTTTTGGTGGAGTTTTTTTCTTTTTAATTTTGCAGGATTAGAGATATCTTTGTTCTTTTAACCAAATGTATCTTTTCCTTGTGTCAAAATGGCAGGAAATTATACTTGTCAGTAAGGGTTGGAGAGAGGTTCAGGCAGAGCAAAGAGCATTTAGTCCCAGGGCCACCCACTGTTTATATCTTACAGCTGTGTATATATGTGTGTGTGTGTGTTGAACTGTGTGTAATAGTGTGTTACTATGTTGCAGTGATTGAATCCTTTTACTCTCTTTCCTTATTAAGAGCTCTTTTATTGTGTTTCTGATCCTTGTTTGTATAAATGGATGATTAATCATGTAAATAAACAGTGTATATCATAATATTTATTTAATTCAATTTACATGTACCTGAGTCCAAACTGAGTCTGAGTGGCTTACAATAAAGTAAGGAATAAAAACACACTACAAAACAAAACAGAACTGATCATACCAAAAAATTAATGTTTTATTTATTTTGTGTTGCTTTTAAAATGACAAAAAAGAAAAACAAAACACAAAGATAATTATGATAAAATACTATTTTAACTTTTTAAAAAAGCACTTTGTATTTTTCCTTTTCTTTGACAATGTCTGTATTTTTGTCATAACAAAAAAATAAATAAAAAATTAACGAAGGAGGAAAAATCAATAAAGTCCACTTTCATGATGAAAGGTAGAGATATTAACTCATCAATTTTCCCAATTATTTATTCAGTCAAGACCAGAGAAGACGCACTACAAATATGACCTTGCAAACAAGCCCAGGTGCTAAAAACTATGCATTAAATAGTATTGATTCTTTGATGTAATGCATTGTATTTAATAGATTTCTCTTTCTTTCTCTCTCTCTCTCTTTTTTTTTGGAGACATGATGTAGAGGCAATTCTTAGAACAGCATGCTGGTTTGGACTTCGTGACTGTTTAAACCTAGCTTCTGAATTCTTCAACGAGTGGATGAACAATTCCAAACATGAGTAAATAGAATTTATCATCTCATCCTTAATATAAAATCTGCTCTTTCCCCACAAAACATGTCTAAAGCTGTGTAAATACTAGACAGTGATTGTAAAAACAAGCACCAAATGTACAAAGAAGAAAAACAAAAACAAAGCATTGAGACAGAGCAGAAGTAATAAATCCTAAATAAAATCCTAATAAACCATATGATAGAAGCTGAAAAACAACATTGCATGCTTTAGGGATTCTATCATTTTCACCACACAGGGATAGAAAATGCAACTTATAATGCATATGAAAGTAAATTTATTTCGTGCAAGAAAGGTCTGATTGGGTATGCTAGATGACTACTATTGGAATAACTGAAAATATGTATTCGTGAAAACAGAATGCTCTCTATTTAGGATTATATTAATCACAATAACTAGTTTCATCTCTTTATATTAACAGGTTGTTCCATTTATAATTGCAGGGTTCCTGTTTGTTTTAGCTCAACTATTTGTTGCTATGGCATTTGGATGGGGAATGAGGAAGAATGGGAATTTTTATGGAAAATTTTTAAAAAGAATGAGACTGAAGATGCATACAAATCCAATATATTCTTTGCCTTGAGCTGCACTCGCATGCCGTGGTTACTTCAGAGGTGATTTAATTAATGTTTTCACTGACAGAAAAGATAAATCATGATTTCACAAGCCAGAGGCAATAGCAACGTTACATAGTTCATTCACTTCTTGCTAGATATGGACAGTGATTCCTTAAGTTCATGATTGTATAATTATTTATTCTTTTTTTAAAAAAAAATAGTTGCAAACATGAATGTTTGCTTAATAGTTGAATGGTGTCTATGTTAACATTCCTTTCTCTTGATAAAACACGAAACTACAAAAAATGCTGCATGCTAAGGTTGGAGTTCCATTTTTCAAATTCCTTTGTTCATTTCTTTGATAGTAAGATCACTTTTCTGAATAAAGTTACTTTATATACACCTGGAAATTCTCACTTTTGCACTTTTCTTGCTCTTCAAGAATTTATTTTCAGATGATTAAATTGGCAAAACCAAAACATTTTTAAAAATCATATCTCCAAGATAAATGTAACAAATGTAACAAACATGAACAAATTCATGTAACAAATCTCACAATTGGTCTTATCTGCATTCTTCTGTGCATTTATTGATTGTCTTTCTTACAGAAAACTGAATCTTACTGTTTGACTGAAAATAGAAATCTGACTATAGTAGTATTTTTCAACCTTGGGAGCTTTAGGGATGCTGACTGGAGGATTCTGGCAATCGAAGTCCATACATCTTAAAATGGCCAAGGTTGAGAAACACTAGACTATAATTTTAAAAGTTCTGAAATCAGGATCCTTGTCTATCTCCTCAGTTGTTTGTGTTTTTAGAAGAAACTATCTGCAGCGCTGTTCCATAATGGGGGTGACTGTAGTGGTTGATATGTTTTGAAAGGAAAAACATTTTTAATGACTTTGTGAATGTATCAAAGCTTTGGTGGGTCATGCACTTAGTTGTTCAAGACATAATACAAGCTTTGTCTGAAGTTTCCAAATATAACATTATCAAAATGTATCTGTAATTCCTATAACAATGGTAACTTTGTATATTCCCCCCCCCCATTCTTTCCATTATTTATAAGTGATCCCATTTATAATTGTATGTTTAGTAGCATTTTAGAAATGATTTTTCTTCTTACAAATGTGATTTATTGTGAATAAACCTCTGTGCAGATACTTGCATTATATCCACAATGATGAGACGAATCTACCAATTATTACAGCCGAAGCAATTCAGAATGTGGTCAAGAATGAGATTGGATATTTGACAGCATGGACATTTGTATCAGAAAATTGGTCAGATCTGCCCATTAGGTAATGACAGTCAAGTTCCATGTCTTTGGGGTTGGGGGAGAATATTTGTCCTGAAATATTTTATTCCATTATGCATGAACAACAGAATTAGACATCAACATTAAGTAACAAAAAAACTGCTCCCTTATTTATTTATTTTAGAAAATCTGTTGCTGTAAGCAGCAACACTCTGGTATGAATCCAGAAAAAAATCTTTGATATATCCATTTATACTGGGACTGTAAATTCACAGAAAGCTGGGAAGTAATTTTTATTAATCTCTTTTCTACGCAACCTGAACCAGTTCTAAACTAAGAGTGTTATTCTTTTCTTCTTCTATTAGCATTCCATGAGCTGAAATCTAGATGTTCTTAGGCTCGCTAGATTTACTGAGAAAGAATTGGATCAAATGCAGTGTGAACTTTCCATATAGATTATTTAGAAAATTTATATAGCTGCCCATCTTAAGTACATAACCCTAAATCAACCTGTTTTAACAGTTCAATTTTATTATTTCAGAGTAAGTTTGAATAAAAACTGAAAGGTGAAAATATTACAGCATAAACTGAGCATCTTTTCAAATTTTTTCCTTTGTAAAAAGTAACAATGCTCTTTGTCACAGGTTCACACTGAATGTTCTTATGACCACTATCACTACTGACATTCAAATGCAAATGGTAAGTAAAATAAGAAAATATAGCATAATAAGGTAACTAAAAGTATTTGCCCTGAAATGGAACAGTTCAATTATTTTTATGCCAAAGGCTATACTTAGCATTTGAATGGCAGGCTGGGGCCATATTACCCTAAAATACAAGCCAGTTTGGTATAGTGATTAAGTTGCTGGTCTTCAGTAGATAGTGAATTCTAGATCTCCCTTAGACATGAAAGCCAACTGGGTAACTTTGGATCATACATTATCTCTCAGACCAAGTGACCTTACAGAGTTGTTGTGGGGAAAATAGGAGGAGGAAGGACTATTACTGTATGTTTGCTGATGCAAAATAAAAGTGGGATAAAAATCTAATGATCTATAAATAAAACACAATCATAACAGCTTAGAGATTGAAGAGATTTTAGAAGCCAACTATGCAATTCCATGCTCAGTGCAGAATTTGCTAAAGCATTTATTGGCTAGCTGGCTACCATGCTTCAATTTGAAGACTTCCACTGGAAGTAAACATTTCACTTTGTAACGCAAGCTGACTCTTAATGTCAAGAAATTCCATCTGTGATCTTAAATGAAATTATTTTCCTGTAGCTTTAGTTCATTGGTTGTGGTCCTGATATTTGTGCTAACACACAAATCAGTTACTTTCTTTGTATCTGAAAACTATTATTATCTGCTCCAGCTTCTTGCAGTTGTGTTAATTGTTCTTCATTGTTTCCAGCCCCCTTATTATCTTCCTCTGAACTTGTTCCAATTTGCTGATGTTCTTTTCAGACTGCAGTGTCCATAAAAGGACCCAATATTTCATGTGGGAATTGACCAGGGCAGAATAAAGTGGGTCAATTACTTTCTGAGATCTGGATTCTACTCCCAATTCTTAAATAGCAATAAGAAACTTAACACATGTTCATTTTGCAGTCTACTACTATATTGATAGTTTATATATTGGATTTTCATCCTGCATTTATTATTTTTATAAATAATTCAAGGTGGCAAATGTACACAATACTCTTTTCCCCTCCTATTTTCTCCACAATCACAACCTATGAGGTGATTTGGGTTGAGAGAGAATGATTGTCCCAAGGTCATCCAGCCGGTTATTTATGTCCAAGGAAGGGTCTCAATTTCTAGCCTGATGCCTTAACCACCAGCCCAATACCTGGTATATAAATCTGGGATGTGTGAATTTCCATCTAATACTTAGAGGAGATACTTTCTGTGGGCAACTTTTATTTCTATAAGATATCCCCATTTGAATTTTTCTCTAACTTAATATGTGAAATCCCATCCCCTTATACTTTGTGTGGCATTTAGAAGCAGTTTTGGGTTGCTAGGGCAGGAGAAAATGGAAAGCAAGCTTGTTAGAACTTTCCCCAGTGAAATGTCTCCTCTACCTTTGCTTCCAAAATTACTAAGAACAAGAGTTAAGGCATTTCCATTTATATATTTGATTTGTATAATCACTTGTGTGATGATGACGATGTTATCCATTCAGTCGTGTCTGACTCTTGGTGATTCTATGGGCCAGGTCTCTCCACATCTTCCAATCTTGCACTACTTCTTTGAGTTTTTCCAGCCAGAGCATAGAAAAGCAATATAATAATCAAATAAAAACAATTATGTAAATACAATGAATACAATGATCAAATAAAAACAATTAAGTAGATACAATGATTGCAAAATATAAATCAATCATTATTAAAAATTAAAGGATATTAAAAAGATATACAAACCAGAGGCATGGGAGAATGAAGAGTGGACCTATTTTAGGATGTTATTTGTTTCCTGGGACCCAAGCTTGGTGATATAACCAGGTCTGGAAGGACTTTTGGAATGTTGAAAGAATGGCAAGTAACTTGACTTTCCATTTATCTGTTTGTGTGCAGTTCCTTCTACTCTATAAAGAAAAGGATTACGGTATCTGATATACTTTTCATTATGTTAAATTATGTCATAAAATACACTGCTTAGATTAACACTTGCCCTTATTACTCTTTGTCTGCTTTATTTTAGATACAGGTTTTGCTTAATAATACCCTTGAACCTGAAGAAAAGGTAGTGGCTACAGACATAATGCTGAAAGAAAAATCTGAAAATGAAAAAAGAAAAAAATCAATGACCAAAACGATCATGTGGTTAAAGGAAAATATGGACAATTGACAGTTGAGAAATTTCTTTTTTAAAAAAGGATATATTCATAGCAATTAAAATTTCCTGGGTTATTTTGGGTATACATAAAATTGTTTTCCTGTGCAAGCAATAAAATATCATTCAGTGGAAAGCAAAGTACTGGTATTAAATAAATAATGTTTTCTCCCAGGAGTACAAAATTTCTACAAAAACATTTGCATATTTTGTGGAATTCTTCCTCTGTAAGAATGCACTTCCAAATGCTATGTAAAAGGAACTTCAAGGAATATTATATATTAAGGAGATTGAACAAAGGAAATTTTTTATGTTTGAAATGAACTGGAAGCTAGATGACTCTTTTGTTATCTGATGTGCCTTAGGAAACGGGACTCAAACACTTTCAGAACTATAGCTTTTTTATTTTTTAAATGAAAATGATGACAATAAAATATAAACATTTCATTATAAGAGTATATCACCTGAAAATGTTTTTCTCTGTAGTGAGCTATAAAAAGTATATGTTTTTATATTAATATATATATTAAATATTTTTCGAAAGTAAACTATTGTATATGCAAACACTGTTTTTGCCAATTTTCTAAAAGTTTTAGTTTTGGAGCTTAAGCTTTGTTGATTTCAGTAAAAGAGTCAAAGAACAAAGAAAGGACTCTAGTGAAGGTATGCAACAAGATGTTTAAATGAAGACAGTAATACCTCCCACAGTGCATAAACCACAGCATTTTCTCTTCCCGAATTCTCTTGTTACTGTTCTAGTGGGACTAAGGGCAGGACATCCTCCATAATCACAGTGAAAAACTGAATGGAAGGGATAAAAATGGAAATGGAGTGGCCTGAAAGAATCTGGCTGACTCTGTTCATATGAGCGGTCCACATTTACTTATTTGCTATTGTGGTCTTAAATTCTCTTGCTGTACTGGTCACCTAATCCAGGGAAAGTATTACAAGCTAGAGATAAAAAAAGATACCTTGAGCATTGATTTTGCTACTCATTCTTTCAGTAATTGGGAAAGTTGTTTTTTTTCTTTCTCTCTGATGAAATCTTGTCAAGAGAGATCTGTCAGAAATAATCAGTCAACATCATTAGATCATTGGAATGTATGTCATGTTGCCCAGAGGAAATTTATGTACTTTGTGCCTAATTTTGAGTTTTCAGATCATAAAATATATGGATGGTATTTTGAACCAACTTCTTTTTTAAGCTTTGCCTGCTTTAGATGTCTGGATTTTTTTTAATTGGCCAATTTATATATAATGGCAATTTTAGATTAAATGAAATTGAAATGTTTTAGAACTATGGGTTTTTTTTAGTAATGATTATGATGCTGCTTTAAATACATTGTTTAGGGGTCCTTCTTCCTGAGCAAATGTATTTTCAGAAATCCTTTATAGCTGAGGCAGGAACAGTTTGTCCTTAAAATCCGGAGGAAAGACTGACTACATGTGCTAAGAAAAACCGTGTGAGTTTAACTCTCCTCATCCAAGCCTCTGCATGGTTAGTTAGACATAAATACCATTGAATTCAGTGAGCTTTTTTCCCAAATAAGCACGCACAGCCTGCAAATCTAAATATATGTATGTGATAATGTACCCAATTATATTCTCTAAGTATAATTTACTTTGAAGCAGGTAGGTTTAGTAATGTAGCATACATAGTGTGTGTTTTTGTTCTCTGAAGACATATGTGAGTAATTCCTTAATCTACTGAAATTGCCCTAGATGCCCTAGGTGGGGAACCTGAAGTATTAAAATTAAACTTAGTTACTAGCAAGCTCTGGTCGTCTGGCCATTATTGAGGGATACTGAGAGTTATAGTTCTGCAATAGCTGGAAGAAAAAGCTGGAAGAAAATAAATTCCAATTGCTTGTCTTTAGTGAAGAGAATAACCTGCTTAAATTATTTTGATTTTTTTAAAAAATATTTTGATTATACTAGATTTTTAAAATCAAATGGATAGGTGACTATTATGCTCCTTTTCTTTTCTGCCACCACTGAAATATCCAATAAAAATGCACCAATTAGAATTAGTTAATGGCTGGCATTAGCCATTTCAGTAAAAGTGCAAAATAAGAAGCTATTTGTTTTTATGCTTATTAAAGAATCTTGAACTTGGGACATCACTGTTCAGGAAATTTGTTTAAAAATATGGACTAACTTTACATATAAAACAAACAAATAAAAATCTGAGCATTTCACTAGAAGAAAGCCAAGTTACAAAAGCCTATTTTATAATGTGTCTAAAGGATGAATCATGGCAACTGGACCAAACTTTGTTAATCTGAGCAACTTCATCAGTCAGAGCAAAATTACATAGGCAGAGGGTCAAAGAGTTGTTGGGAATGTACCAACTCTTGCCACACCAGCTTCAGGGGTTTCTCCCCCAAAAAGCCTTGCAATATGTCAGTGAAGACTCAATCTTCATTCTCAGGAGTTTCTCAATAATATAAAAAACTCTCCATTATTATAGAATATCTTGGAATTGTGATGAAGGTAAAGTTAACCATATTCATGGATTTTTTCCCCACCTCCTGCAAGTTTAAATGTTTAATTCAGTTGATGGCTTTGACTGCGTTGTGTATCACCAGCAAAGTAAAAATTCATCTGGATCAGAAAATCAAATTAAAAACTTAAATATCAGTGCTAAAAGTCTTACATTCATCTTCTGCATGAATGTATGGTAATTAAAAAACATGAACATTGTAAAACTGCAGTTCTTGATTCTAAAGTATTTTTTCCCCATGAAGCGATGCTGTTCTCATGTTGCTTGCAGAATCCCTGGTTAAATGTGACTCAGGTGCACTAGTAGGTACACTAATTAGCACAGTCACATAGCCCATTGTGTCCAATTACGTTTGTGAGCAAACAAGTAGCATTGCTACTGAGAGACAATAAGCAGGATTTCAGACCATGTACCACTACTAACAGTTGAATTTATGCAGAGTGTACCTCTAACAGAAATTCGCTATCAGATTGGTTATTGCATTTTAACAATCTTGTTAGGTAAGTTTTGAAAAAAGAATTTTGACATAATAAGAATTACTAACTTGATCAATAAGTACCTGAAGGAGACCATTCAAGTGATGTTTCGTTTGTTGTAAAAAAAAAATGAAAATGTGAATCAGCATACTGATTCTTAATTTTACACCTCAAAAAGAGACCTTTAAGATGATGCTAATTTTAGTAATGATTATTTACTGTCTGTCACTGAATTCATGGAATTCAACATTTATTTCATGCTTATTTATATTAGCTATTGTGTGATTTTCCTCTGTAGAGCAAGGAAACAGAATATAATTAGCTGAAAAAGAATAAACATTGTAGGTTATGCATAAGAGAAATTTTTAATTCTAACATGCATGTAGTTTTAATGCATGTAGTTTTACACATGTAGTTTTATGCATGTAGAATATTCATTGTGGAATATATATATAAAAAATTTAAGAATCAATGTTTATTTTTTTTACCAATGTTGAAAGGACAATATAGGAGCCACCTCCAACTTTTATACATTACATGAAAGTTCTGTTTTAAGTTTTACAGGAAACCACACAATACAAAATTCTAACAATTTTAAGATGGATTGACTCATTATCCAAAAGATTTTATTGTGATAAATATTTGAAACTATTTGAGGCAAACGTCTTTTGAAATAGGTGCTTTACAAAATAACATTAGTGGCTGATTCATGTGAAAATGATTCTGGTTTGCATACTTACTGTATATGTTATAAAAAATATGGAAAGAAATCACAGTAAAAACTAGATTTATTTATCTAGTGTTGCTAGGAGCATGATGCTTTGGGGACATTGTCTCAGGTTTCGGTCTTTGGGGAATAGGAAATGAAATGTTACCAAATCACTCCAACCACAGAAATTGTACTTCCTGACATCAATCACAATGGGAAGAGTTTTATTTCTCCAATAAGCAGCTGATTACAGAATATGTTGTTAAAGCCATGTAAATTAAAATGCAGCTGAATCCTTAAGTTCTGAAATAAAGAATAGTATCAAAGCATCTAAGGATAAATATAAATATAAATATAGCTGCTGCATATATCTGTAATACTGAAAGTCACATCTGCAATATTTTAAATGCAAATAATTACATTATATAATGATCAGACTAATTTCAAGGAATAGTAGGTTAAGCTAATGAAATAATAATAACTAATAATTCTCCCATTTTGCAATGAATATCTTTATATGATGCAAGGTGGGAGAGATCACAAAAAGGAAAATGATGTCTGCAATCATATAATTGAAATTGCAATCTTGATTTATTTATTTTTATAGTCACAGACACATCTCAGGATCCATGTCTTGTATATCAATCTTGCTGCTAGCCAAAACCTTGGAGTTATAATGGATTTTTGTTTTTGAGTTTTAGTGGATTTCTGGATACAGAATAATGTGTATTATTATAATAAAATAGCTGTACACAGTTACTAGTTTGCTTTAAATCAGTGTTTCCTAATGTGCTCCAGATGTGTTGGGTTATAGCTCCGAAAATTTGTAGCCAGCATGACTGTCTGCATTCTACATTTTGGAAAGGCAACTGTTTGGGCAGATTGCTTTAAATTCATTAATCCACCTTGGGAAGAAATTGTTTTGATGTGTTATCAATCAATATAATTATCTGTATTGGAAGCAAGTTAGCTGAATTCATCAAATCTTGAACATCATAAATAAATCACTAGGTCCTGATGGCTTCTGACCAAGGGTTATTAAGGAACTTAAAGCTGGAATTGTTAACCTCCTAACTAAAATATGCAACCAATTTCTACATAGTTGAAATGAAAAGTTGGGCCACAAGTGATCCTTTCCTATAGTGTAAATGGAACAACTTTGTGGATGGGGATGACGCATTCAACAAACAAATCAAGTCAGGGGATTCTCTTGACAGTAACACAATTTGTTGTTACTTTCTTCTAGGATATTTTGTCCGAAGTCCTACTCTAATACACAAATCTGGGATTACAGTATTTGGTGGTTTCCCCTCCAAGTGCTAGACTAGTTGGAGCCTAATTATTTAGTCCATGCAGAAACGAAACATATAAAAAATGGTAAACTGTGGTATGGTTCAACTCCATAGAACAACACTGACACCTAATGGTAGATTACGTTTACTTTTTGCTGAACTTGCAATTGAAAATGCTGAATGTTTTTTTTTTTAATGTGAGGTTTTTTATTTGTTTATGTTTGTGAAATTCCTTTTGGTGACAGTTGATGAAATGTGTATGGAAATACAATACATTCCAGGCTGCATTTCCTTACACATGTAGCGCTGCACAAAAAAATAAGGGCTCCATTTTTCTAAATTGAGGAAGGAGAGAAGTCATAACAAGATCCACAAAATTGGGAGTGGTTCCTGAGGTTAGTCCTGCTGATAGAAAGGAAAAGCTTACTTTCAATTATCAGATTTTTGAGCACTTTTAAAAGGTAACAAATTGCTGTTTCAAAAATATTCCTGTGCTTTTTTTCCCCCAAGGTAGAACCTTTGTCCACAGTGATTTGCAGAGAAACAACTTGTTCCAATAAAGCCAGAGCTTTTGTGTTTGTGTATATTTTTGTTACAATCAGTAGGTGGCTATCTGCATATGATAGGGAGACAATTTGGTTTTTCTATCAGTTAAAAATAAGACACTGTTTGCCTTGGAGTGCTATAGGGAGAGTGGGGTTTGCTGTTCTTTAAGTGGATACATGAATCTTACGCTCGAAATCATCACCTACAATTAATAGCAATAGCATTAGACTTATATACTGCTTCATAGTGCTTTATAGCCCTTTCTAAGCAG